CGGATAAAAATTAAATGAGCCATAAAACAAAAACTGTCTCAGTGTCATTTTGAGAAAATTTTTAATATTTCATAAATTCCAATTTGAAGCCTCTCAGCTGCAAAACTGTTGAACCTAAATTGGAATCTTAATCAACAGGTTTGTAGAGAAGTTAATTGGCTTTAATCAGAGCTTAATTGCGTTGAAAGCGGATGAATGTTAAAAGAGCTGTAAGACCGAGGGGGCGACCACTTCCCGCAATACGTGTTCATTTGGTCTGAAATCACTTGCAATCATATCCGAAATCATTCTGAAATCCCACAGTCAGTTCGCAATATCTGAAATCCTTCTTGCAGTCCCAAAATCGTTTCCCGCAATCGCTGAAATCCTATGCAATCACCTTTGCAATCTCTGAAATCACTCAAAATCAACTCTGGTGGGGTTAAAAAATCAGCTGTTGATCGGGATTTTTTCCGTTTGTTTTTGCGATACCTTGATAATTGACATCAAGTTTTTGATGCCCTCATTTTTGAATTCAGCAGTGTTCTTTTTTTTTGAAGGATCAAATGCTGGATCTGATGTGGAACAAGTGGAAATGTCATTATCCAATGAAAAATATTATGCAGCTCTTTATGACACCTGGTATATTGGGCATATTTCAGAATCATTAGAACAAGATACTTGGATCAAGTTTTTAAAGTGGCAGTTGGACATGTAGAGGGTGGCCCAAATTCGAGCCTCATCATTGGGTTCTCGGTAACCGTAAGATACGGGGTCGGTTACATTATGGCAAAATTGCGCAATTTTATGACCAATAAAGTGCCGTTATGAAACTAGAAAGATTCCAAATACTTCCAGAGATATATTCACGGCTAAATTGTTTTTCAAGTAGAATCCAGTGTTCGAGATGCCACCGATTTTGGAATAGTAACCCTGTTATTAAGTTGTATCTTTGGGGACACCACGTATATTATCTTTTCATTGCATAGCTCTTTTCGAGCTGATTAAGGTTTTATAGCTTTACTTTCGAAAGTTATGAGGAACAAAAATAGATTCCGTTTCTTTATAAAGCAATGAATTAGAAAGAGAAAGTTTAACCGTTTAACTATGAAGCAGCTACAAATTTCTATTCTTAATTCAACAATTCAACAAATTTTTTATTTGAAATGTGAATAATTGGGGGTGATATTGATAAATAAGCAACACATAATTTATTTCATGACTTATCTCTTTCTTTTTATGGAGAAACGGAATTTATTTTTTTCCTTAAAAACTATTGAAGATAAAGCTATAAAACCTTTTATCATTGAAATCAGCTCAAAAAGAGCTATGTAATGAAAACATAATATACGGAGTGTCCCATCTAAAAAACACAATTTTTGTTAATATTCCAAAATCGGAGGCATATGGAAAAAAAATTAGTCATGCCACAATTGCCACTGGATTCTACTTGTAAAACTGCTTGTAGAAAGTATTTTTGGTTTTTGTATATTCTTGATTAATGAAAAAATTAGAAGTTCTTAAAATTGGACAAAATCTGAAAAGGGCCCTGTATTTCCTAAGCACATCAAATTAGCTGTGATTTGTCCTCGCCATTGTTATTTTCTCAAAAAAGAGCTCCCACATATTTAATACCTCTGTTCTGCTGGTTTTAGATATAGCCTATTAAAACATGGAAAATAAGTCTGTAGTCCTGTAGATACCTATCTATAAACTTATGAATGAGTAGTAGTAGTAAGTAGTAAACAATATTTATTGAACTAATTGTTCAAAGGGCCATCGACCGAGGTCTTTCAGCCTTTGATATCTACAATTTCATATGTATTTACAAAATTTGTATAAGTATGAAACAGATAAATCCACATGCGATGGAGAAAAGAAAAAAAAAATAAAAATTAAATGAACAATGCAAGTACGTACAACCATAGATTTACACAATTACCTATGTACTTATGTTAGCTTTTTATAGTCTATTATTTTGTATAATTTGGAAAACAGTTTCTTCTGGATATTGTCTTTTCCTGATAAGGCCTTGTGGAATTTCCAAAATGAATGGACTGATTATCGCTATGTTGGATGGTCTGCTGCCAAACTTCTCGGTAAGACTTTGAAATCTTTGAATGATTGGTTCAATTTCAGTTTCTTGATACAACATTTCATTTGATGGATTATGAAGCGGGTTTGTAGGATGTCTGATTTTTGTAATTTTACGGAGACTAGTTCTTTCTGCAGTTTCTATTATCCGGATGGCAGGTCCTCTACAAGCACTGAAAATTATCTGTCCGTATTCCAAAATTGGTCTGCATATTGTTGTGTAGATGTGACATGCAGTTTTGATGTTAATACCTTCGTCCTTGTATGTAAGGTTTCTAAAATGCTTGCTCCTTATTATTGTCTTTTTCTTCATCGTTGACAGGTGATATTTGAAATTTAATTTATTGTCGAAATGGATACCCAAGTATTTGATGTGAGATTGAGGGAGTATTTGGTGGTTGAGAATATCTAGTTTTGGTGAAGCATCACTGATCTTGTGATGAAATATTATAAATTGCGATTTTTCAGGATTCACTTTTAGTTTCCACCTATCTAACCAGACAATCACTCTGTTAAGTGCTATTTGTAGAGATTGAACAGCTTGGGATATATTCTTGTGGTGTGATATAATAGCGTCTGCAAATTGTATGATATATGGACTTGCAACTGTAACCTGGTTTGTTGGAGGGAAGATGTCGTGACAATAAATATTATAGAGCAATGGCGACAGTGATGATCCCTGTGGTGTTCCCTGCTCATTAGAAAATGGGTATGAAAGGCTTCCATTTATTTTTACCACATTTTGTCGATTCTCCAGGAACTTCTTAACAAGCCATATCAGGTATCTTGGACATTGTAACTGGTAGAGTTTAAACAGGATACCTCTATGCCAAACTGTATCAAAAGCCTTTCTAATATCTAAAAACGTCGCCGCACTTCTGAAACCCATAACATTTGCTGACTGTATGTTAGATGTTAGAATGGATAGTGGATGAATAGTGGAGTGACCTTGCTTGAAACCGAACTGATGCCCAGGTAAAAAATTCAAAAGATAGTGAAAAAATCGAATGAAATATGTTTCGCAATCATATTTGCAATCCCCAGAAATCATGTTGCAATCTCAAAAATCATCTCGCAATCTCAAAAATTATATCGCAATCCCCCCTGCAGTCACTGAAATCGCCTCGCAATCCTCCAAAATCGCAAATTTTTAAAAAAATTCTCCGAAATCGCTGCAATCATTTGGAAATCATAGGATTTCCTCAATACATGTACCATCGTCACCAAAAGTATCTGGGACACAAATAATGCATAATAATCTCCTGGACTAATTCTTCTGTCATTCATTTTAATGCATTTATTTACGACTAATGTATAATGTGCGTATTATATTTGTGATTTTGCCAGTATAATGACATATGTTATTCCTCCAGGGATTAATGACGAGTAGCGGGATTAATGGTCATTATTCCACAAAAGTGTTAGTGTCAAACGTGTAGTGCTTGTGGATTTGTATTGAAAATTATGAGACGGATGAAATTTGTTCATTGAAAATCTCAAATAAATTAATTTGTCGTAAATAAAGTAGAGTATACTACTCGCAATAATGGCTATTATTCCCTCGGAATGTTACTCCCTCGCCGCTAACGCGGCTCAGTTCGTAATAATCCTCGGGAATAATAGCTATCATTATTGACTCGTGGTATAATCTACTATTAATTCATAGTTTGACAAATATTTGACAATAAAATTCATATAATAGAACAAGAGCTAATTTGATGCTGTCCCAGTTACTTTTGGTGACGATGGTACATATTTTTCAGGAGTGGTCGCCCCCTCGTGTAAGACAAAAACTGTCTCAATGTCCTTTTTGGAAAATTTTCAATGTTTGCTACTTGGTTTGATAATTTCAATTTTGAAGCATCGCAAGTGCAAAACTGTTGGAACCAAATTAAAATCTTGATTAATAGGTCTGTATAAAATTCAATTAGCTTTACTTAGAGCCTAATTGCGTTGAAATCAGATTGAAATTAAATGAGCTGTGAGGCAAAAACTGTCTCAGTGTCATTTTGAGAAAATTTTCAATATTCGATAAATTCAATTTTGATGTCCTCAGTTGTAGAACTGTTAAACCCGAGGTTAAACCTTAATTGAAATCTTAATTAACGGATTTGTAGAGAATTCAATTGGCTTTAATCAGAGCCTAATTGCGTTGAAATCGAATGAAAATTAGAGGAGCTGTGAGGCAAAAACTGTGTTATTTTTGGAAAATTTTCAATGTTTGAATTCAATTTTGAAGGTTCTTAGGTGCAAAACATTTGAACCAAATATACAATTTTATCTAGGTGATCAAAGAAACACAAAAACCCTACAAACATACAAAAACCCAATAGACATTTTCAAAAACCCGGGTTTTTGCCAACCTTGGTTTATACTATAATAAGCCTTACCAATCAACTGAACAGTTCCAGTGCTGGAGAAACTTTAACTTTATTGAGTAAATGATTTTATATTTTTATACACTCGTATTATATAATTAAAAAACCTAATTTTAATTTATTGATGCCCAAAATAATAATTTATTAATAGTTTTAAATGTATTTAATTAATTATTCCACGAAACAATATAAGGTACCTATATGAAGGGTAAAGTCCATTTTATTGTTATTTTTATAGCTCTCAAGCTAATTATACTGATAAATTTGAATAAAATAATTATAATCTGTTTGTTTGCCTGCATAAGTAAACAAATTGTTTTCTTGGGTAAAAAGAGTCATTTTCAAAAATTGTAGGTTTTTATACTACGGATTCTACTGTTGAATTCAAATCAATTTTTCGAAATTTTCATAATAAAAAAGATCAAACAATTTATACTATAGATTGAAATTCTCTATAGGATTCTGGCAAATAAAATACAGTAAATTCATCAAAAATATTAATTTATAACAAAAAAACAAATCGATTAAATAGAATCAATTTTTACTTACCTTATTGGTTTGGAGAAATTTGCATGCGGCGGCAAATTAGGAATCAGCACTAAAACCGCCGCAATTAACGTTATTTCTAGTAATCGGCGCAAAATAAATTTAACTACTCCTCCAACACCCATTGTGAATTTTTTGCTACCCTGAAATATTATTATTTAAAAATTGATTAAAAATATTTAAAATTTTAGTAGGTATCCTACCTTGATGAGTTGAAGATTGACTGAAATGAAATACCGGGACCAAATTCCGTTGTATCGGTACTTTCGAATAAAAAATTACACGTAATCACTTTATAAACAAAATTATTTATTTTTTTCAACTAAACATCTGACACATTTTTTTGACTTTTTTTTTTGGCAGCGGTCAACTGATTTCATTTTCATTCCAGCTTGTTTACTCCGTGCACTCCGAACAATCCGTAGCCACCATTAGCTGGGTTCGGCTATTCAGCACGGAGTTGGAGTGGAGTAAGAACAGATTTTTGTCACGTTGCCTCTGTTAAACTTTGGCAAGGAATTTTTAACCACAACGTGATAACACAAGACAGTTTAAAAAATTCTCTATCCGAGATGGAACTTTTCGAGTGAACTAGGTTTACTCAGGGATGCTATTTCTAGTACAATTGTACTAGATCTAGCGCAATCAGGTTCCACCTAGTACGCTAGTACCTCTCTCATAAATCTAGTACAATTTGGTTTACGAGTCGATTGTCGCTCTTCGCTCTGTAACCGAGTTCTGAGCTCTACTCTCTATTTGTTGGTTGGGTTCCACATTCCAGGGCTGGGATCACGACGAGTGGAATTCTACTTTCATGACGTCACCCGCGACCTATTTATCGCGTACAATACAGTGCCCGGATTCCGAACCCACGATTCGAAAGTATCGTCTCTATTTTATATAGTCGATTCTATCGAATCGTGGGTTCGGAATCCGGGCCCAGGCGTCCCAGACGTCCCAGGCGATGATGATATGGTGGCTAGGCAATGTGATGTGATGTCATGATGAAAGTAGAATTTTACTTGGCGTTTCGAATATGGTATCGAACGCAAACGCACTTTTTTATTGTGTGATTTGACGTGTGTCATGTATCGGGGGTTAAGCAGGACGCGCACTGAATCGACTCGGACCGGTCGACTCGGCGAAGAGCATTCGGTAGTTTTTGATACTCATGAAATTAAATGAGAGTCCGCGCACAGCATCGGACTAGTCGACTCGACGTGGTCGACTCGAGTCTCATTTAATTGCATGAGTATCAAAAACTACCGAATGCTCTTCGCCGAGTCGACCGGTCCGATTCGATTCAGCGCGCGTCCTGCTTATTCGGTTATTCAGCCGATCACGGTAATTCGTAGACAATTTATAACCTGTAGAAATTTATTTATTTCTATCATTCAGGGCCAGTTTCTCAATAGCGAGTCATCCCCGGGTTTAGGGTTGCCAACACTCCCAATTTAGGCGGGAGACTCCCGCTTTTTTGTCATGCCTCCCGCCGTAAAACATCGCAGCAAAAACTCCCGCTTTCTAATAAAACTCCCGCTAACTCCCGCTTTTTAACAATATCGCATTTGACTGAAGAAAAATAATAATTCAATATCAAGCAAAAGAATTTGTGTTTTTTGCTATTGGCTATTGGGCATTCGCATCTTTTATTTAGGGTTTTCGATGTTCTTGGGTTTGTATATAAAAAAAGCGCCTAATTTAATTTCACGTCTTCTGACAAAATTGACACGTATTTTTGAAATCACGTACCAGAGTTAATAGGTTGTCATAATGAGTAACTTGATGATGTCATCTAGGGTGCCTTATGGAGATTTGCATTATGTTGAGGAGGTCATTGGTAGAGGCACCCCTAATGACGTCATTAAAATTGACAACCTCTCCATAGTCTTTTCATTCAAACCTACTTTTCTTGCTCCAAGCAGATCTGCATAGCTTTAAGAGTGAAAATAAGGGTGTAATTATCTTGATTTACCGTAGGTATCCTTTTGATTAAAAGGAAAATAATTTCTCGGGGACTCGTACTCGGAGGTAATATTACACCTAAGTGTTTTTAATTTTTTCGGAAAAATGAGGAAAAACGAGTTGGCAAGTAAAGTAATTTGGGCGTGGCACCCTAAAATTTAAACCTCCCGCTTTTCCATTTCAAAAACTTGGCAACCCTACCCGGGTTAAGCAACACCACCATGGTAAACATTGCAACTGGACGCGTTTACCTTGTAGTTAAAACCAACCCGGAGGCAACTCGCTATTGAGAAACCGACCCTAAGGGCGGGTATTATAAAACTGCTTTGACAGTTAACTTGAAGTTAACTTTTTGAATTACATGTAATTCCAGAAGTTAACTTTAAGTTAACTGTCAAAGAAGTTTTATAATACTCACCCTAAACCAGTGATATTTACTATTTACCCCCAATAAGCAGAGCCTACATTTGTATTCAAATTTCAAAATTTGTCGCGCTTTCAGCTAGTACACAATCAGGGCCGAGTTCAGAAATAACACACAGGGTGCGAGTGCGATTTTATGGGTGTGCCTGAATTGACATTTGGTCATTGGGACCATAGCACCTTCTAGCATTTTTGAACAGCTAGGGCGTCGCACCGGTGTCACACTCACACTGGGTGTGTCATTCCTGAGCTCGCCCCAGGCCTATGATGTATCCTCTCCTGTTACTTTAACAGCTATGTTATAGCTCAACATCTATACTTCTCTCTATTTTAACGCATAGAATAAATAGTGACAGACAACTTAACGTTGCTGATGTCGCCAATCTAGTACAATTATTCCCTACTTTCTGGTAATTTTTTTTTAGTGTTGATAGCATCCCTGGGTTTACTCCACTCCGTATAGTCGAAGGCTAATGGAGTCACTCCTTATTCGCCAAAAAGCAATACCCGAACGGCTGGAGTGCGAATGGAGTCACTCGGAGCGCACGGAATGAGCAAGCCGAACCCACCAGAGAAAGGTCTTCCGCGCGGGGCGCGTTCAGATTGAAGAGTCTGGGCGACGTCCAGTGCAGAGCGTACCCGATAGAGAGTGCACTCCGAGTGTGCCTGGCGATTCGCCCAATCTGAACGGCCAAAACGCATTCTCTCCTCATAACATCACTATTTATGGGATGCTTTGATTTTGATTTTGTTGCCTTTTCAAAATTCACTGTGTTCGTGATTCTAACATTTTTGTAAAATAAGAAAAAAGAAAATTCAAAGATAATCAACTCTTATTTTATTTTATTTTGATTTTTTTGGTAGAACTTATCACATATAAAATAATACCTCTTAACCCCTAATTCTTATTTTAATTTATTTCCTATTTTATTTTATTTGTTGGATAAACTCGCCATAACTCCCAACAATAATATTTACAATATTTGCCTTTATTTCTTTATTATTGGTTAGAACATAAACATAACACAAACGCGCCTGCGGGGCAAATTTTATCTTACTATTTTATGGGATGCAAAAGTGTGCGTCGGGGTGTCGTCAGGTAAAAATCTACTGACAATCTGAACGGCTGGGTAAATTTTACCCAAAGCAATCTGAACGGTCAGAGCGCGCTCGGGCGACAACCGACGTTCAATCTGAACGCAGCCCCGGAGTGATCCGAGACGGAGTGGAAAGAAAAAGTTCCAGGTTTCGAGGTTATGATTCTATTGTTTTTGTTTTTGTTTATGAATAATTTCGAATTATTTAAATCATAAAATTCGTAATAAATAATGATAAATGAAAATGTTAACAACAGTGATTGGTGCGTGGAATGTTCAGACGACGAACTGAAAGATGCTGCAGACCCTTGGGAACCGGATCCTGCGGAAATTCATCGAATCTACAGTTTGTTGAGCAAAGGCGAAATGCCTGAGATGAAATGGAAGTGTCCTGGATATCGGACGCCTTCGCCGGACCACGTCGAAGAAACGAAAGAGGACAACCAAGACAAGAATAAGTAAGATTTTGAAAAACTACATTTTGTTTCCTTTAGGGCCAAATTATGGACTGACTGGTTAACGTCTGGTTGTTACCTAGGTACTTTCTATGCACTAGAGAATAGAAAGTACCTGCTAGGTAAAAACCAGACACTTACCAACAGTTGGTCCATAATTTGGCCCTTCAGTAAATAGTTAACAATGACAAGGCCGAGTTCGTTTTTGTCATTTTTTTCGTCGATTTGCTCAAAAATTTTGACAGGCACGTGACTGGGTGAGACAGTTCCAATTTATAAATCACGTGCCTGTCAAAATTTCGGAGCAAATCGACGAAAAAGATGACAAAAACGAACTCGGCAAAGATGGGAGCAACCGAGCAACGCACAAACAATAATAGCCATTCTAATAACATCTGTATAGTTTTTTTCCAAAAATTTGAAAAACAAATTTTTAAACAGTTGCGAAAATGTGGGCTAGGATGGTGACGTCATAGGCCTGGAAATGCGAGGATGCCAAATTTCTCATAATTAGTATCATACTTTATTAGCAAACTAATTGCTCTTAACAATGTCATTACAAAAACAAATATGAAATACTTTTTCAGATTCTGTGCTTTATTTCCTTCAATTTGATACCCCACAACCCATATTTTTGGAGCTCATTTTTTTAATGTTAATGGGGGACATAGAGGGATAATAGGGGAGATAATAGAAAAAAACCGAAACACGGGTCCTATTATTATAATAGTAGACTCTACATTAATTTTTAAACATCTGTGATTTTTCCTCTCGTTTCCGAGATACGCCCTTTTCGAAATCAAATTACCAACCCCTATTTCTCTGCCCCCAGTTAAAATTTCAAAAAACTCTGAAATATGTGTTCACTTATTTTGTTGGTGAATCTATATGCCAATTTTCAGATCTTTGTGGCTTTTCCTTTTTGAGAGACAGAAATCCTTTTGAATATATCTAGTTTTTTGATTAATTGGTTGGCTGAGGGTACATATTCGTTGAGATTGAGGAAGATTGTCAATGACTCAGGTTTCACACAGAATGTCAATTTAGTCACTCACACTACAGAAGAAGGAGGTAGCTTAATAGATTTAGTTCTATTCAACAATAAAGCTGGTATCGTCAAGTGCCAAGTTATGGAAACACCCCGTATTAGTGATCACCATATTGTAAAAACCAATGACATCAAAACACAGATAGACGGATCATCCCATTCATAAACTATTATTTGTTGTGTTGACAAGACCACCCATGGGCCAAGGGAGGTGAGTTGCTCGCGGGGTCGGGGTAGGGAGACATCATTGCTCAAAATGGTGTAAAAAACCCCGCCCACACGTGAATATATCTCGAAATTTAATTGGATGAATAAATAAAATAACAAATTGACAAATAAACTGAAAATATTCGATACGAGCCCTTCATTCTAGGAGTACCAATATCGTATTGGTCGTTTCTTGTTTAACGCTAATGAATAATCCCTGATTGCGATAAAGATAGCTAGCTACTACAATCAACACCTGCCTGCCATTCAACAAGCCGCTTTTGGGCGGTGTTTTGCTATAATCTGCTGTTGCCAAATTGAGTTCAGAAATAAAATTGAAAATGTTAATTAGAGGAGACAAATATATTATTTAGGGA